ATTTGAACACAAGTTTGGGTTATTTCACTTGTGAACTACCTTTTATGATAATAGCACATTAAATGGGTCATGCGATATTTCGTAACGTTTCAATTTATGACTTTTCAAGTATTCAGCAATAAAATACTTTTGAAATATAGAAGACATTCCACATCCAAAATACTGTAACACAGAGCTTGCAATTAGAGACACATGTTGTGATTAGGAAATGCCATGTAAGACAAATAATTCAGTAAAAAGGAGAAGTACGTAGTTATGCGTTAAAATGAGTTATACGTAAATGTCCAATGTATCCACTAAAAAGAATGTTTGGGTTGTTTCTTGCCGAATACAGTTGAGCTCCTTACTTCAAATTCTGTTACACATACGTTTGAGTAATATGTTGTTGCGTATGATGACTCGATGAGTTAGTATCAATTCTGACGATGAAACATTAAAATTGAGTATTCTCCCGATCCCTGGGTTTAACTCTTTAATGACATGGACATATATAGAACCAAGGATTTTGAACAAGAACGAAAAACGCACTGAGATTATTATCAATGTAGACTGAGCGCTCCCACATTCGGAAGGAGATTGGTATCTCATCTCTATCAGTAAAACATCCTTGACGTAGCGACACAATTAGTTCCACTAATCTTGAGAATGGATTACCTTTCTTTGAAGTTGTGGTCAGGTTTCGTGTCTAAAAATAACGTATGCGAAAATGAACAGCGTAAAATACACTCAACAATGTTGAATAGACAACCCCCCCTCTCTCTCTCTCTATCTTTCCTTCCACCCCTTTCTTTCTCTCACTACGCACTTCCCGCACACCCTCTCTCCCTCCGTCACTCTCTGTACCTGTATTATTTTGATAATAATAATCATATTAATGATAATAATATTAATAAATACTACTACTACTACAACAACTACTACTAATAATAATAATTATGATAATGATATTGATAATTAAAATATATATATAACTCTAGATCTGAACTCATTTCCACATGTAAACATAAGAGAAAGTTTCTACTCTCTGAATATGGTTAAACCCCTCCCCCCCCGTACCACCATGACCTTTCCCCTTACCCTTAAACCACTTAATTCCACTATTGTATTATTGCGTTCGCCCTTACTTGGGTATTATTTGTGTCTCTTTTGTATTCTTGCCTGACTGCACATGAGTGTTTTTAACTTCGCCATGATTGTATTATATATTTAGTTACTGATGAGCCTTCTGGCGAAACAGTCTGTATAACTCGTACCAATAAAGTGTAACCTTCCAACTCCTAAATCTACATTTGCCATAGTTGAGCACTGTCAGAAATTGCAGTTTCACTAAACTTGCTTATTTATATATATATATATATATATATATATATATATATATATCATGTTTACCCAGGTAGCTTTATAAGCATCAATACTGCTCTCCCTGGGTGCCCTGCATGCAATCATCTTATTTACTGCTCTCTCTCTCTCTCTCTCTCTCTCTTGTTGTTTGATTGGGTTTTAAGGCAATTCAGTCAACATTGACTATTTATGCATTATGCCTCTTCCGCCCTCTCTCACTAATTTACTCCCCCCTCTCTCTCTCTCTCTCTCTCTCCCTCTCTCTCTCTTCATCTTTATCACGTTAATCCCGTTTTTTGTTTCTCTGTCATAGCTTGCTGTCTCTTTTATATACGTCAGTGCGGCTAATAAAGAAAAAAGTCGATTGATCCCTGACCAACCTTATACCACAATCTTCATGATCCATCTTAAGATTCTTGTATTGGCGTAGGCCCTACACGAGATATTAATGATATCTGAATAAATTCGAAAAAACAACTGTGGCCTATCCCAAGCATTAACTTTGACTGATGTATGGGATTCTTACATCACTTTATTAAGCTCATTTGCATTCGATGTCTGGAAATCGAATCATTCCATCATTCCATATTATTCCGGATGTCAGCAAGTATTTATTAAAGGTACTATGTCCCATTTGCAGGCCAAAAAAAAAAATGAAAAAGTTAAATTCCAACTGCATTTGAAAGATAATACTATTTTAGAGCTTCCCTAAAAAAGGTGGGGCTTGAAAATGGCTTCAAGTGGGAAAATAACGACTGTTAGTTGTCAAATTGACTTAAGGGCTATAGAGCCCAAAAGTAATAGTATTGATTTTCAGACAATTGTACCGAATGGTCATACGTTTTATGCTGCGCAAAGATTCAATCAGTTTAATCTTGGCCATCACAAGAAGTGGGTTATTGATGTAGACAAATGCTCATGTACCCTTTACAACTCTTTTCATGTATGTTATTACCAAAGAAGAAAAAAGGCCAGTCACTCACTCAAATGACTCAATAGTGTCTGACAGTGAAGTCTAGCAAGTAAACGGGTTTCCTTGCATAATTTGAATATGAGGACACTGCTAACGTTTAAATTTCACAGATAGGACATACATGACATATCCATGATTCCTGCAAAGTTCTACAGCATTTGAGGTTGGCTACAAAAGGGACATAGTACCTTTAAAGTGACTCGGTAACATTGTTGAAGGTTGATGGAAAATTGCCAAATTTGTGTATGAAATGTTACTTATTCTATTCCATCTACTGTACCCTCTCACATGCAACAAATCCTGAAAAAGTCTCAAACCACATAGATATCTATGGTTTCATTTGAAGGGGTCACTGTGCAACACCCCATAACAGTAAATTTTCCCAACCGTTTTTCCATGAAAAAAGACATAAGACAGGCTTTTAAAAATCGTTCAACTCTTAACTGTCTGGAATGGTAAATAGAGCCAATTAATTGATTTGTGACGATTTACATTCACCTAACATGTAATTAAATTGTAATAATATTTCCCAATTTTTATCATTAATGATGGTCCGTTTTCACACAAAATTTCAGATTGTCTTAATTGTACATCTAGCACTACCATAGCACCACTTTCTCTCATCTGAACAATACTACCAAGTCCCTTTAAAGATGAAGTTGAGTTCTGGTCATGCGATTGCATTGTGAAAGAAACGGTGTGGAATCGACCAGAAAAGGTTGATCATCTTAGCATATAACAATTTGTGTGTATTGCAAGGTTCTGGAATCATCAAAATGATAACAAATTGGCCAAGTCTTGGTAAAGTTACAAACACTGTACACAGAAAGATGTATATGGGACTACACGAACACGTGGCGTAAAAAACCTACCCCCGAGTTTTACGATGTACATGACATATTTAGAATATGAAGGCATTTGAAGAGCCATGCTTTTCAGGGAACATGTCTTATCTGATGTTCTTCCACGCTTGCATAATAAGAATGATAACGCTCACAAATTATTTTCACCTCTTCCCAGAACTCAACCTTCTCTTTAAGGCGTCAATGTTTGTATGAAATGCAGAAGGAGGTCTGTAATAACTCATCCGCCTGAGAAACGATTTTTATGAACCCACTCAAATTCATATATGAGCACATTCTAACCTGTCCGAATATCCATTTCCGAGTTTCTAATTTGTTGTTATTACTGTTAGAATATAATTTCGTTTTCAAAATAAACCTACTTCTACAGTCTCAGTAAATCTGGATGTATATAGCGCTTAAACCTCTTCACAGAAAAATGATCGTGATCATCGGATTCTTTCACGCATACAGTGTAAACCCTCTCCACTCCCTGGGGAGTTTCACTAACATATGGTCACCGTGAGGGCGTATGTCAATTACTAAATCACAAAGTCTTTTGTCATGCTACCGAGCCCTGTTTTTCTCCTGTGTATGGAATGGCAATCGTAGATTAATACCGTGTCTGGGATCGAACCTACAACCTTTCCAGCCAAAATTGCTCAAACCACCGGACTGCGACACCTCTACTTAGTTCTCCCGAAAGATGTGGCGGCTGCTCAAAATAAAGGTACAGTAATTCCAAATTATTCTCGGGGTGGAAGAAGTTAGCCCCAAATTTGTACGCATTTGAGTCTAAAATTTGAAAGGGAAGTCCACCCTGATATAGGTCAGCGAAAGTTTGAGCAAACGTCTATTAAAAATAAGAAAGTTATGAATTTTTGAATTGCGATCATTCAAAGACGAACTGGCCAGTCTGTTACGTATCTTCCGAGCTACCCTCCTATTTTTCTGCTTCTATTAAAGGCCCACTGCACTACTGGTAGCTACTTGCGCCCACTATATAACAAACAACGCCTAATCGGTGACCATTGGTCCCCATGATCCTCTTTTTCTTATGTTAACTGAGAGCTGAGTTGATGAGATAACCACCTGTCCAGTTACCTTGCAGAGCGGTCTAATCCCTCCTGTAAACTACGGCAGATAAGCTTTAAAACCAACTTAATATCAGGATGGACTTCCCCTTTAAAAGATTCTAGAAAATACTCCATGTGTCCTCTATTCATCTCAGTGAACTATCGGCCTTTAATATAATATTTTTCGCATGGTTTTCAAACTAGAAGATACTTTCTTTACACCGCTTTGCCATGACATCTCCACTTTTTAAATTTCCTTTCATCCGTTTGACATTATAATGCAGCAGTAACTCATTAATGATTATTACCTTAAACTCTGGTTATAATCAACTCGAAACCGATTTGTCAGGCACCTCAGTAAAGAAAAATTGCAAAAAATTAGCATTTAACATGACCTAAAAATTAAGCTCTTTTAATAATAAAAAATAACAACCCATCCAGAACCACTAGGGATTTGAGAAGTAGAAACTTTGTTTAATACTATTTTTTGTATTTTGTAAACAATTTCTTTAACCATTAGTTAATCAAGTATGAATGCATGAGATTTATCTTTATTGTCCATGCTTTAGAGATGGACATTCGTGGCGTTCTAACGGAATATAGATTGAGAATAAACTTGACATTGATGGTGATTTTATTATGTTTTATCAATTTGTAATTAGTTTTCTCAGCTCGAAATTATAAGGCGGAATTTGCCTCCTAATGCATGCATGGCGTTAAAGAATTTTGAACATTGCCTTTAAAATATATATATATTTTTTTACTCACCTGAAGCACCAGAAATATTGATGATTGAAAAGAATTATGGCGCAAACAGGTGATAAACTCCGCCGAAAAAAAAATTGATAAACTCCGTCGTTACACAATTGAGAAACTCCGCCGAAGCACAACTGATAAACTCCACCGAAAGCAAAGTGATGAACTCTGCCAAAGATGAATATTACTTCCCGATTAAACGATCTTCTCCCTAGCAGCGTAGTATTCGACGATGAGAAGGCAAAATGGTGTGAGTAAATGGTCGGAGGCTGTTTTTATCCCATCCATTCCGCATCAGTGGTTTCGTTGCCATGGTGACAGATTGAAATGGGCGTTTACTCGTAGCTTTTTGAAGTCACATGACGTTGCTCCTGTGCACTAAAGGGTACAATATCAAACTTTTAATTCAAAAAAGGATATCAATTTGTCAACCCTCTCTTATGAGGGAAATATATCTTTGGCAGTTTATACTCAGAAATTACATTGGCTAAATGGAGTTCAAATTATTCATGCTCTTACAATTTACAAGTCTGATCCTTTTTTTATTCCGAACAAACGGAATGTTATAGAATGAAATTATTATTAAAATATAATTTTGCTTCTACTGCTCCTTGTAAAAGCAACGACCAAAATTTTCATGAAGTACCAAGAAAGGACAACACTTAAATATTTCTTTATACAAATCTCAAATGTTTGTTCCATAGTATCAGTAAATTTGTTATATTTCAGCCTTTGTCGTCAAAACGAGAAACAAAATGCAAACTTTTTTTAGCAAATTTGATCCGATTATGATTTTCAAGAAAAATAAGATGAATAAAAAATTGGAATAAGTTGATATAATTGTGTAAACAGATTTCCATTGCTTTGTATGAGGAATTTTTAAATGTTGTCATTTTCGCATAGTAAATTTATACATCATACAAGTTCGACTTTAATATTACCAATATCTTACAAACGAATTTGATGGTCGGCTATTCCTTTGGTTTATACAATATATCGGAAACGTGACGTGCAAGGATATTAAAACGGATGTGAAACAAAGCCCCCTTTTTACCTTTTTCGTAATTACTCGCTGCGGCCACGATGTTATCAAACTTTCAGGGTCCCTCGGAACAATTTCTTCTTAAATGTCGATTGATTGAATCAATTTAGGAGATCTTACAAAAGAATGTCCTGCCACTTGGTTAATAGCAATTATTGAAATTATTTACCACAAAACAAGGTTAACGTTTGTGGTTGGTTTGGGAGTTAAAGTAGATCATAAAACTAGAGTATCTAAGTAAGGCACCTATAAAATCATTGCTCTATTTTCACATTTTATGTTTTTCTGGAAATTTAGAAAAATATAACAGTTTCGATATGCAATTATTAAAAATTAATAAAGTATCATTTTTAATGAAGAGCGTTATAAGTATATATGTAAGTATAATGGTATAAACGTTTCTCATTTTGTATTATTCATTACAAAAAAAATCATGATAAACATTATAGAAATATTTACATGTTTTACATAAAACATAAAATGAAAACAAGCTGTTTATTATCATTTGTTGAGATGTTTTACTCACCTTTATAATTTTTTTTCACGGTACCGATTTTTTGTTAAATGACAATATTTATGTCAGGTATCGTGTTAAATTTTCGTTTATATTTGCCTGCAGTACCATAAAGAAATAAAAGCATTTCAATCGCTGGACAAAGGCCGCCCTAGGGAAAAAGATGAATATATAGTTCCCCTCCCCCCCCCCCCCCCCCCACAAAAGGCGGGTCAACGGCCTTATGTATCATTTGAAGTAATTTGACGTGTACGAATAATGTCCAATGCCCAATCTGAAAACAATTCTTAGAAACATCGTTCTTAATAAAGAGCATTATAAGTATATATATATCATTATAATGGTTTCTCATTTTGTACTATTCATAAAAAATAAAAAAAACCATGATAAACATTATAGAAATATTTACATGTTCTACACAGAAACATACAATTAAAAAAAAGCGGTTTATTATCATTTGTTGAGATGTTTTAATCACCCTTATAAGATCATTTCACGGTACCCATTTTTTGTTAAATGACAATATTTATGTCAGGTATCGTGTTAAATTTTCGTTTATATTTGCCTGCAGTACCATAAAGAAATAAAAGCATTTCAATCGCTGGACAAAGGCCGCCCTAGGGAAAAAGATGAATATATAGTTCCCCTTCTCCCCCACAAAAGGCGGGTCAACGGCCTTATATATCATTTGAAGTAATTTGAGGTGTACGAATATTGTCCAATGCCCAATCTGAAAACAATTCTTAGAAACATACTAACGTAGCAAAACAGTGTTGTGTGGTCTTTGCTTCAATTATTTGATTTTCTTCACAATTTCTGAGAAATGTTTTTTTTTAGAGACGAGGGTCTCCATAATAATTTAATCACATGTGGTCTATGCTCATACCTTGTGTATCAATATCCAGACTAATACATCTATCCGAATATTTTTTCAGGTATCCCTTGGAGGGAATGAGAAAAAAGAAATGAAAGAAAATACCCCCCTCTACATTTCAAAAGCCATAAAGAAAGGGTATAATCTGGTTTCGGTACGACCCATCATTACATTCGAATCGTTCTGATATTGAAATGATAAGGCCTTGTAATGGTCAGAATTGTTAATTGTCAAAGAAAATGAAACAATGAAGCAATACTCGAAGATATAATCATTTATCAATCTTTTAAATACAGTTTTTTCTTCTCATCAAGTCAATTATCATACTATATTGTAAAGTAGATAAACCATAGCAAGTTAAAATGGGGACCATGAAATTAAGAAGAACGTATACATAATCTAAACAAATCCTATTCTATACAATTACCATTTTATCATCTAAATCACCATGCAATCCGATAATTATAAGCAGCATCTAATTACCATTTTGTCACACTGGGGCCAGTGATTTTCATGCAGTCCCAAATGGCGTTAATAGCATTAATTTGATTGAAACAAAATGGAAAAAAAGATTAAGTAAATTAATTGTTACATTAGTTATTCGTCATCAGGTTGTGATTTTTTTTGCAGGTAGTTTACTTGAATTTTAATCTAAAAAACAGTTTCTTCACGTTGTTTACTTGGCTTTTCCATTCCCTCTCCCCCTTTCCCCACAATTATACGGTATGATGTGGGAAATATAAGAAGGATCCGCATTTGCAGATTTTCCCCGTGCGTTACGTTAATATTTGATATATAAGTACTCTAATGATTATACCCATATTTGTATCCATTGTTTACCTAAAGGCAAAGTACAAACAACCCTCGAACTTTTCTACTAATATTAGTATTGCAGTACACAAACAAAAGAAGACATTAGACCCATTTAGTGATACAAAGGGTCAAAGGTCGATGGTACCTGGTAGGCAGGTGGGTCTTAATTGTAATGGGAGTTGAAAGGTTTCTTTGAAAATGGGACACATTTAATTTCAGGGGCAGTTTTGATTTGTACAACGATGTCCTTTCGTTTTCGAACTTTATATTGGCTTTCATTCTGCAAATAATTGGTTAGCAAATAGATACAAACTGTAGGTCATTAGGTTGTAATCACAAAATGATATTTAAACTTATCTCTCTTTTTCTCTCTCTCTCTCTTCCCACGCTTATTTGTTCTTTAATATTTCATTTGGTTATTTTGGACTGGGGGAGGGCGGGGGGGGGGGGGGGTTCGAGCGAGTAGGTAAAATTCCGTGTGAAAATACCCCCCCCCGACTATAATCAATATACGCCTCTTGGTCTGATGGGAGTATAATCATTCTAATCGCCATTATGATCAACATTGAGCAAACATAGGCTCGACTTTTATTATTCGAATATTGAAACATTTGTGTGGGCTTATCTCTATTTCGTCGCGTCTGCTTGTATTTGTTCTTCTTCAAAATGGTCAAAGTTCGTTCGCACCTTTGCTTCCCTATAATGTAGCAGTTGTGTGCACACATCTCTCTTTAATGTGTGAATATATACCAACTATAAATCTAAGGGGTGTGTGTTATTTAAAAACAGGTTTCCAGCTGTGCTATTGCATTTTACTTTGATAAATATTGTATTTCTTATCAAATTTGATCAATCTTAGCCAGATACAGTCATCCATATACAATTTAACTTTAAAAAGCTATTATGATAATCCTCATGCGATTTCTTGCAAACTCCAGTCGAAGCACGGTCGTTAAAACGGCCATTCCACTGCGATCATTTATCATGAAAATACTCTCTTGGAAACGTTTGCGTAATACCTTTGATTCTAGCGGGTAACTTCATTCATTTTGAGAAGCTAATCCTAGGAATTAAGAAATCCTGACCTCGCACGTAGGGGATCCGCAATCTCATTTGAATATATGAAAAAACGCACACCTTGAACTCACGATGAATGGGTTTTTATCAATCTTTAATTGAAATTTTCACTCTCAGATTACAGAGTATTTCCGAATTCATAAAGTTTGGGGTCAGGTGTTATCAGTCATTTTCCCGATCATAAGAAAGATGATAAGAAAGTATTCGTCTGAAGAAAAAAGCGAGCCAACATTTATGATGGACCATCAAAAGTTTGCTGAGCACAACACACAATGAACGCTTGACCTTTTTAAAACAAAATATTGTAGGTTGACGGCACAGTAGTAATGATAATATATATGATATTGGATATTTATATAGTAATGACAAAAGAATATGAAGTATTTGTTTACATGTATGTTTTATCTCTCTTTTTCTCTCGCATAATTTCATACATTGCTACACTGTGTGGTTTTATATTTCTTTACCTCCTCTTTTTTCACTAAGCTGCTCCCACTTTAGAAAATATAATCCCAGATTTCCCTTTCCGTCTAATGGCTAATTTCTTTTCCTCACCCTTAAAATTCAAAAAGGTTTTCTTCATCTTTTCTAAAGTTTGTACTCCCCCGATCTTGACATAAATATAACAAACTTCACAATGAAAATTATAGTATTACATTTTCATTCAGAAACGTATTCACCAACATACTCACCCACGCGCACACTTCATGCCCCCACGCGCACAATCATGCAAATTGATATGTACTTTTTTTACGTTGTATCTTTACCTATTTTTACTTGATAAAAAAACTTGTTAAAAATGGATGATAAGTGGATGAATTAAGGGCTTATATTATAGGAATACAAAGCTTTCCTTCCTTGTTGAAAGCTTAATCCTTCATTTCATTCATAAATGCAAAGTGAAAAATCCGATTAGAGATGATAGGTTGATATTAAAAGCCTAGTGCTCTTTCTCCAGCTTTA